AAATGATAATGTCAGTAGTCAGGAGATTTCCGAGCATTCTCTCCTTTAAAGGCCATTATTTGCTTCTCAGTGGACTAATTTTTCTAACCAAAATGTTGTTAACACGTTTTCCTATTTCTAATGTGACGAAACATTACGCACGCACGCATCACAGACCATTTCTTAACACTGTATAAGTCATATATATCTCATGCACTGCGCAAAGGGAATTAGCCTTCCTACTTCAAATAACATATCTTAGCTTATAGTTGAATTATTTAGTAACAATAAGAGATTGCCTGAACTGGTCCAGTCATCAAAGAATTTTTGGCAATTCTCAACGGACCAGCACGGTTCAGTATTTCCGAGCACTTCAACTATGTGGAGTTGTGGTAGGACCACCGATGTACACCTGCCGAGTAAAAAGGGGACTTGAAAGGACCTAAAAAGGACTTTGAAAAGCGACGATTGTTTATCGTTTCCTCATTCACTCATTTCTGTAAGTTGTTTTCTTGTTTATTCATTTAATCCTCTGTTGGATTTCTCAATTCGAAATTGTTGTGGCAAGTTGAAGAGAAGGTTAGGTAGAGAACTTATGATTTGCTAGATTGAAAGCCTATTAATTAGACATTCTAGTCAAACTAGTCAAAATTTATTTTCTGAACATTCTCTCCAATAAATGACTTAGTGTATAAGTGCCTTCCCAAAATTATTGGATTTAGAGTCGAAAAAACAAATATGGCGGCTTTGACTTCAATTTTATCGCTCGCGCTGACCGCTTGCAGAATTACGCGCTTTCAAATAACAAGGGTTGGTATGTTCTAAGACAAGTTTCGTACGCCAGTATTGACGGGAACATAAATCCTTACCATTTTCGAGTTTTGTAACTTTGATTTCATTTATTCGAAACACAATTTTCGTCGTGCCTATCATAATAGTACGTCATTCTTTGGATAGGTTCTGCATTCCTTTGTACAGCGAAAGCAGTTGTTGTGGCTCGAAGAGTTTGGTCGAAGCGTTTTTCATGTTTTCAGTCGCCGACATTCTTGCTTTGCACGAATAATGATCCAACTCGTGAAATAAATCGTGGTCTGAAGGCGCTATTTGCTAACAACACGGTGGGTTCGGTACGGTAGTCCAGGCTAAACCCTTCAACTGCTATGCAAGAGGCAGACTCTTGTTTTTGACAATTCTCGTCTACAGTCTAAAAATGTCCCACAGTGTGACGTCCAACGAAAGCTTGCTTTGCACTAACATATCGAGTTAAGCGAGCCGGTCAGTGGTGACACACTGTGACACGCTCTTTGGACTGTGTTCATCAAACACGAGCTGTCCTTCAGATCGCGGGAAATCGTCGCAGTAGTTGGCCGAAGCGTGACATTGATCTTTCCGGTGTTATTCGACGTATTAATACAAATCAGCCGTTCGTATGGCATGATGGCTTGGACTAGTCTGTAGCCGACCTCGATTCGATGTTACCTTCGCCCCTGCTCTAGCGCCCTTTTGTGTGGCTCAGTACGGCACAATTCGTTAGAACCGACATCGCAAAGACATATGTTCTAGCCTAATTATTGTTTCTGAAAGCCTTATTAAAGTATGAACGAGGTTGTGTCTAGCTCTCAACTGACGGAAAATTAAGCATCGCCTCACGTGGCCGCCAAATGAAACTGAGCATTATCGCTAATGTGTTTACGTTATCAGGTCTGTTGAGAAAGTTGCATGTGATTCCAGATTGTCAAAGAAACGTTGGAAGGAAATTAGCGCTGATTTTATATTCAACCGAAGCTGTACTGCTTCATTGTTGGCTGGTGGTTCCTTTCCGAAGAGATATCAGATTTGAAGCTAAAGCTTTAGAACGAAATGTACTGAAGAAGAACTTTGCAGTCATTAATTCTATGTTATGGGCACGGCGAACACATCATGAACGATTTCTCATGAACATTATTTCTGTTTAGATCAAGCGGGATATCGATATTTGCAGAAGCAATGTCGGTGTTGGCTGAGATTTATTCCATTTGGCTAATGCTTAACCTTATAAAAGTGACGTCATTAAAATAGAAAAGGTGTTCTAGCTGTTTGATATTAAGTTCCCTACTATGTTAAACTATACTATATTTCGCATGAGGTTTCGAGTGAATGTAGAGAATTTCAGCAATTTAGCATATATCTCTGCGACGGGTTGACGGTCATCTAGGGATCCACTATCAAAACCATTAAAAATTCAAAAAGAAACCTTAAAAAGGGACAAACCAACATCCGCTCCATGCGCAAAGGAGCCTTGATAGATCAAACACCTACTGAGAAGTTATGAAATCGGGAAACATAGGGAGAATGTCGATGGTGCGGGATCAATGGACGTTCTTGATTGCTCATGGATAGTGTTTCTTGAAGCTAAACGCCAATCTTCGAGCTCTCACTAGAGATTACGATCATCTCAACTTTCAAGTGATCACCTGATAAGAGATAAAAATCTAGAAAACCGATATATGTTAGCTGAATGAACCGATCTTCGTCATTCGTGTAGAAAAGGTGTCGTCATGAAGTGTTGGTGATGCAGGCTTTGTCTTATACACATCCGCTACCCAGTTTGACGCTTCCATCAAGATCCCATTACCCCACTTGACTACATTCCGCCTTCAGCCTAGGCGTCGATGAGTACCACCTACTGAGGACATCGTCCTGCGTAGTCTATGAGGGCGAAGTGTACGCACTCTACTCCCACATCCCACTCATCTACTCCCTCCAGCAATCCCTCATCCCACAAGTGAAACAGAATCCGTAGTGCCTACCTATGTCGACAAGCTCAAACCCATTGACGCTTGTGCCGGCATTTTCAACATTTAGTGTTATTTGTTCTCTTCTTTATTCTTATAAAGAAAGAAGCTCTGTTATTGATAGACACACCGTTCTTTTCCACTTTTCCAGCTCTGTTATTGATAGACACACTTTTTTTTCCACTTTTCCACTATATTTCAAGGTATTCTTAACAGGTTTTCGTCGAAGGAAACCTCACCGAATATTCTGTTGTCACTCTCTTTCTGTTTTCTAAGATCTTCTTTTTTAGTGATAAAAACGACGTCTTGCCGATGTACATCGTAGAATAGCGATGATGATGGAAAATGATGAATGGGAAACATAATGGAAAATCTCAAATCCATATTTACCGGTTATTTATTCATCTTGGACACTTGGAACACCTATTGTCACCAGTCATTTGGGCCTACTGTATGCTTTCCATTTCACAACTATTTTGTATAAAATATAGGCGGTTTTCTTATTCAGTATTTATATGTATTCAGTCATAGCGGATCGCTTTGGGATTGATCAACGCAGGAAGCTTTATCCTCTATTCTGAAAACAGGATTATAGTAATTATTGAGAATAAACAATGAAACAAACCGAGGGTGCGGTCAATAGTTTGGATTCATCTCGATATCAGCTTTGACGAACTCTTGGACGATGAACTCAACTGCGTGATGTTGAGCTTTGCCTAGGAGTGAATATCGCAATGTTCATGTCATCTCTAAATATAATTTTCCAGCGATTCCATTAGAATTACAATGCAATGTACTTCCTGTACCAGAAAAGAAGTGCGTGTAGTGTATAGTGCAGCGATTAGAGGCGCCCTGCAATATACATGGGATCGATCCCGTGGCCCAGACTCACCAAGCTTTTTATCTTTCCGGAATTAGAAAATCCCAATCAGATCTGTCTGGTAGGATAGCAGCAATGGCTCGATACATCGGCAGGCAACCACTAGTCATTTTATAGGACAGATATACATCCAATCACCTCTACGGTGCTACGAATGGAGTCGAATGCATGGCGCATCTTTCATGAATTGATGAAGACCCAGACCTTTATCCTACCATCCTTTACTAGAAAAGTAGCTAGGTGGTCGCAGTCCTAGTATGGTTCATCTACAGAACTCATTTTTACCACCATTTCAGTAAAACCAGAGAGCAGTGCGCTTTCGAGCCCTCCTCGCGCGGCGCCCGGCTGCGTCATGGGACGGTGTTTGAATATCGATTGATTGCTATCTCCCGCTATGTACGGAGGTCGGGGAGGGGACAGGGAGGGACCTGATTGGACCGCTAGGGCCTGTGAGGCTAAGCGTATAGGCAAAAAAAATTAAAGTAACTATTTTAGTGGTTTTGCTGACCTTCCTTTCTCTTCTTTCATCCTATTTTTTCTGAAGCTTTATCCATTCTTTCATATAAGTTAAAATTTGACCGGACCATCTTTTCTTAAACGGAACTTTCCCACATGTGACAAGACTACGAATGATTTTTACTACTTTTACTTTAGTAGTAGTTTTGTAGGTAAACAGTTTTCCTATTGTACTCAGAAACCGTTGTTTTTCCTCACCTTACGTTTCGAATTCTGTGAAGAATCAGTTTTTTCTGGCATTTTTGGTATAATTTTTATTTCTCGATAGCCGGAGGACAGCATGAAGTTGTTTTGGGCTTAGGCTATAGGACCTGAGAGGTTACTACGTAGAGCTTATTAAGATTGGATGAATAATAAGCTTAAAACTCTAGGTATTAAACAGATATGGTGCGCTAAACAAAACGCGCTGAATGCGTTAGGGTAGTCTCCAGGGATTCTGCAATCACCGTTAAAGGACCCCGGAAATGTTTAAACTTGAAGCCGTTTGTTCCAAACTTTGTAGTAAAAGTTGAAAATAGTAATCTTTTGCTGGTATGTTTTAGTTTTCGGAACTTATGTGATCTGCCTTATCGTCATCTCCATGTTTCTATGGAATATTCCCTTCACCTTGAGTACGAGTGGATCTCCATAGGATTAAATACCATGAACGCTTGGAACATCTGGGAAATGGTTCTTTTATGGAACCCTGTTCTTCCTAAACTCTGGGTAGAGGGCCACTCTGTGACGAGCTTAAGTAGTCGTCTAGACCTAGATAACTAACTAGATCACTTAGAATTCGTAATACTCTATAAGGATTTGTTCACTAACAGGTTTTTTTTTCCAAAATAGGTTCTTTTGACATTATCGACTTAATGGACTTGACTTCTTTTATGCTTTAAGTCCTCTTTCTTCCTTAAGTGTCCTAAACATCGTTAAGCTGTTTAACATTAGGTAAGGATACTATGAAATTTTGATGTTCTCTAGTGCTTTCCACGGTTTTTTTTATGATGAGACTGATCGTTCGTTGCTATGTACTCTCTCTCAGTACTTCAGGACGTTATCATAACTGTTTTCCTGCAGGGACTGGGGCAGTATAGGGGCGAGAATTCCGTGGCCTGCTAGGGCTAGAGTGCTCAGTTTAGAAGTCTGTTGTTCCATTTTGTTCAGGTCTTTGTACCAGTACTGTCAGAGTTCCACATAAGTCCTGCTTTCCACTTTATGCTGTTTTCTGATTGTCTCCCTTCTTTCAGTTGAATTCCTTGCCTGATATATTACTGTTTGGATTGTACAAGACCAATCGTAGTTCTCGTCGCCTCTCTTTTATGAAGGAAACTTTCGTAGAAATATTTTACAGAATATTTTATTCTGCAGATACACCAGCTTCAGGCCTTTTAATACAGAACTTTCTTCAGAAGCTGGATCCGGAGGAAATTTTCACCAAGCACGAGCGCATCGGACGCGGTTCGTTCGGTGAAGTTTACAAGGGCATCGATAGGCGAACTTCACAAGTAAGTTGTTTCTTTAGGGGATTAGTTTTCTCTAGCCCAAAATTAAGTTGTGGAGCCCCGATAGGTCTTCTCATTTGCTGCATAGATTCTCTGGGTTGCGTGTAAGGTTTTTAAGGGTACTTCGAAGGGTGGCCATTTTAAATCATCCTGTGTATTTATTTATATGTTCTTATGAACTGGTCTTGTTGAGCTGGTGCGAGGTTGGTATAACTGTTGTTGTTGTTGTTGTTGTTGTTGTTGTTGCTGCTGGTTGATTGCTGACGTTTCGGCGATTTCGCCTTCATCAGAGCCCTGATGTTGTTAGTGGGACATATTGTTAGGTTCTGTTTATTAAAATAACCCATTTTATGGTATTAAAATAGAGACCGGACTTGGGTTGGACTTTCGCATTGTTTTCTAGGTGGTTGCGATCAAAATCATAGACCTTGAACAAGCCGAAGATGAAATCGAAGACATTCAACAGGAAATCCAGGTATGATAACAAAGTCGGAGAGCTTAAGCTTCTGTTTATTTCGCTATTTTGTTTTATTCATTTTATTTTTTTCGTTGAGATTAGGTGGAAATCTGTTTTTCTTCTTGTTTTCTTCTTTTCAGCAAATCAAAACCTATCGTTTAGGTGCTTAGTCAGTGTGATTCACCCTATGTAACCAAATATTACGGAAGTTACTTAAAGGCAAGTTGACCAGTTGAGTTATGGCTAGAAATCTTGTTTTTAACATTGTTTTTAATATTGTTGACCAAGTATACAAACTTAGTGGCGCATGTGGCGCAGTGGTCGGCGGCGCCCTGCAATACACACACGGAATCGATCGCGGCGCCCGTGGCTAACCAAGCTTTCCATCCCTTCTGAGTCGGCAGATTGGTACCAGACTTGTCTGGGATGATATCAGCACTAGCTCGATATGTCGGTAGGCCACAGCGAGCCATTGTAAAAGACCAGATATGCATTCAGTCACCTCCCAACGACGATTGATGAAGTCGCATGCACGGCGTCTCCCGCAGGGATTGATCAACGGCGAGAGCTTTATCGTTTTATCCTCTTACATGTATGAGCTTACATAGTGTCTATTACATTTCCGCTGTTAATACAACTGCAATGAAGTTTGTCTCTTCAGAGCTTCTGAGCAGGAGCTCGCCTAAGATATGATTTTGTTTTAACTTACAGTGAGACTACTTGCTTGTCTATACATATATAATCGGCGCCTTTGTTCTTGAAAGCTACTTACCGTACAGTTTTGTAGGGATCAAAGTTATGGATAATAATGGAGTACCTGGGCGGAGGTTCAGCCCTTGATCTGACTAAAAGCGGCAAGTTGGATGAAAGTCACATTGCTGTTATACTCCGGGAGATACTTAAAGGCCTCGATTATCTTCACAGTGAGCGGAAGATTCATCGAGACATCAAAGGTGGTTTGTTTCTCATTCACTATCAAGTCGATTTGTTGAAGGCCAGCTTTCTTTAAAATTATTGGAGTTTCTTCGTGTTGTCATTTCAGTATGTGTAATTTTGTGGGCTATCTTTTCCTTCTTGCAAAATAGCTCCCTAAATGTGTCTTGTGTGAACTCGTCCACAGTGTTCGTTTTTGGCGAGGAGGCCAGTGAATATAAGTGTATCATTGCCAAAGGTGTGGAGCTGTTCTGCTTCTGGAGCCTTCTGTGGATAACTGGAGGTGATTAGGAGACGTGTGAGTGCTGGAGTTACTCAATAGTTTACTGGTTACAGATTACGTGTTTACGATTATCGCAGTGTTTTACCATTATTTGGAAGGAGGGGTGGAGTGTTGTTTGGTATCAAAATGCAATGTTAGGTGAAGGTCCATTCCTAAAGATGATCATCCTGATTGATAAGGACTTTCATATTTCTGCCTGAAAGCCCTGTAAAGAGCAGTTTAATGCGAATAATCGAATGAACATTACGCCTATCCATAAGGGTCCAGCAACTGCTTGCGATGAATACCTGAGGACGGCTTGTCATGCATTTCTTTGGCCTGGGAAATGTTCTCACAAACCAGTGCCAAACAGGTTATAACAGAAGTGGTATAGCGCCGTAATGGTTGTTCTTGAGTTTAGTTCGTTGAAGTCAATAAGAGATATGAGACTTTATATCAAGCTTGAAATGAGTCTTATAAAATAATGGCTTCGAAAAGTTGTTTTGTGACCTAATACCTAGTTAAACTTAAGGTAATCTTGCTTCTTCACATATTGGCTTGCTCGTATTATTTTTACAGTTTCTCAAGTGTTTCCAATTTCAAGACGAAAGGGTTTATTGGCCCGCCAATGTTTATGACTTCCGAAGCAGTTCAGTAGAATCACTACAGGTTTAACAATAATAATTTGGCTCCTGATATTTAGCTGTCAATCCTTTCTGGTTTGTCGTACTCTCAATTGAGTTTCTTCTGCACGTAATTTGAAAAAAAATGAAGGTTTTTTATGCAAAGCGTGGGCAGTATAGATGAGCTTTCTAGCTCCTAATAACCTTTTTGCTTTGATATTGGTATATGATAAATGACATACTACTTCTGTACATTCTGTGATGTAATACGATTACAGTCTCCCAACGGTTTACCGCCGTATTGTGGCTGGGAGGTCTTCCTGGGTGTGGGGCTGCGATATACGGTTGGTCTGGCTGACTTAGGGACTCCAGGGAACCGCAATCGCTAAACCAGCAAAGCTCCAAAAAAGTGGAAATCATGCTGGGGCCCGCACAACTAATAGGGGGGGGGGTGTGCAGGTATCCAAGTGAGCAATACGATCACAGAGACTAGAAACCTGAGAATGGCTGCTTTTGTTTTAGGTAAAGTGTTTTAGGAATGCTTTTATATTTTGACTCATGCTCTCTTCACTGTTGACATACTCTCATTGATTTTTCGATTGGCTGAGGTACTATTACTACGGTTCATTTCTAGCCGCCAACGTCTTAGTCAGCGAGCAAGGTGATGTGAAAGTAGCGGATTTTGGCGTAGCTGGACAGTTGACAGAGACGGTGAAGAAGCGTATCACGTTCGTAGGGTCACCGTTTTGGATGGCTCCTGAACTAATCAAGCAAGCCAGCTATGATTATAAGGTGTGAGTTAGCGTAGTTCGGAAGTGCGCGTTCTTAATCGCTCGAGTTATTTCTTAATGACATGTTTTTATACTCTAACGGAGCTCTTATATTTTTTGTTGGGCAATGGTGGATAAAATGCATATGTAGGTGAGAACATTCTCCATTTCACATTTGTTTCTCCAATATAGTTTAGTCACTTACTTGAAGAAACGAGATTTTTTCTTGGTTCTCGAGTGAAGTATTTTGTAGGCCGACATTTGGTCACTCGGAATCACTGCCATCGAGTTAGCTCAGGGCGAACCCCCACACTCTGACCTGCATCCAATGCGAGTCCTGTTTCTTATTCCAAAAAACCCTCCTCCACAGTTGACTGGGCCGCAATGGTCAAGAGTCTTTAAGGACTTCGTGGAACTCTGTTTAAATAAGGATCCAGACAATGTGAGTTTTCTTCCTTTAGGATATTCTCTTTATTGTCGCTTTTGTTCCTATTCGTTTCTCACTAAGCATTATGGGATGTTTTTATTGTCAAGTTGTCCATAATTTAAAGGATTTCACTCACTGTTCCGTAGTTGGTTATCATGAGAGGAAATCTTTTTAATTGTAAATGTCACGTAGATGGAGTTCGATGCTATTTTTTCGAAAACTGCTGATTATTTTTTGATTATCGAAATACTCGAATGCAGTGGACTTATAAGAGAATGTGCTTATGTTTTAAGGGTATTTAAAACTTTGGTAGAATATTTTCTCAGTCTAAGATTTGTAATAAAAGTAGTTAATAATAATAAAAGGATACTCTCGACGTTGATCAATCCCTGAGGGATGCGCCATGCATTCGACTTAATCAGGTATCGTTGAAGGGGATAGAATGCACATCTGGCCTTTACAATGGCTCGCGGTGGCCTACCGATGTAGCGAGCGAGTGCTGCTATCCTCCTAGACAAGTCTGGTACCAAATACCAATTTGCCGACCTCTGCGGGATGGAGGGTTTCGTGAGCCGGGGGCGGGATCGATCCCATGTGTATTTCAGAGCGTTTCCGGCCTCTGCGCTGCAGGCACTTTCACGTAGGATACAAAAGGTTGTATTTTTGAGAATGATTTAGATTAGATTTTAACGGTTTTCATTGGAATTAGTAAGGTTCATTGTGAGTGGGATACGTTTGTTTGAACTTGACAAGCGGAGTTATTTTTTGTGCACATGTCAGTGTGAGTCAATTCACGTTTTACCATAAGTACTGTATTATTATCTTTCGACTAATCCTTATTTCTGAAACTCAGTATTCGGTAATTTGCTTTGCTTTTTTCAGTGCAAGGGATTTTTCCACTTCTTAAAATTTTTTGTCAATTTTGAAGCTTTTTTGACGGATCAAGTTGCAGTTTCATTTGAAGTTATCCACAATGGGCAGTAATAAGGAAATAATACGCCGTTTCCAGCGCCCATCAGCAAGCAGTCTGTTAAAGCATCCTTTTATTAAAAAAGCCAAAAAGAACGGCATTCTCGTCGAGTTGATAGAGCGAGCAAAGGAGTATCGGTGAGCTTGATGTTGTTGTTTTCTCACACTGGTGTACATTGAGCGTCGGAATCTTTTGTTGTACTTGTTATACCCAGTTTGATGGATTATTGTCCGTTTTACAGTACGCGGACAGGTGTGTCATCGGACAGTGATCTAGACGAAGATTCCGATGGTGGTGGTGGTACTAACGGCTGGGATTACCCAACGGTGCGTGGTGGTCCAGCTAACGAGCGAGTTGACGCCGCTCAAAAAGATGAGACGGTCACACAACGTAATAGGCCTTCTCGACCTGGACTTTCAGGAAGATTGCTGGATGCTGTGGATGATAGTAGTCCTGGTAATACAATTGTAAAGGTGAGACGAACTTGCGCAAGTTAGTCACTATTTTAAATAAAGCGCTGATTTTTCCAGTCAAATACAGCAGTACTAGCGGTGGCCGAGCAGTTGCGTGGAGCTGCGTTAGGTTCAGCCGGGATAAACGATAGTAGCGGTGGTTTTGGTCGAGTGTCTGCTTCTTATGCACCCACAACGATTACTGTTGCAAGTCCGCCTAGTAGTCCTGTATGACCTGCTGTACTATTATCGCAAACATTAGATGACCTAGGTTAAATATGTTTATTTTATAGAACTTTAACCAAAATCCTCGACAACACACGCATTCTCCATCTTCGTCTTCGCATACTCAGGACAGGAATCGCTCTTCCGGATCGGGTGGAAGAAACCGCCATGTGTCGTCATTTCAACCGATGGAGAACGGTGGGCGTGAGTACGGTGGAAGTGGTGGCAAGTCTAACCGACGTGAAGTATGTTGTTGTTACAACAATCGTTTTATTGTCAGTGAATCTGTTCTCTAGTGCCGATTGAAAATTGTTGTAATTGTTTTTCTTCGTATTTTTGTTGAGCAAACGCGAGGTGTTACTATTCTTTGTTCACGACTAAGCTGACGTTTCGGCGGATTTCGCCTTCTTCAGAGCCTGGAAAGGTCAAGTTGGTAGCAATCCACTCGGCCAGACGC